ACCACACTCACCACGCTCACCACACTCACCACACTCACTCACCACACTCACCACACTCACCACGCTCACCACACTCACCACACTCACCACGCTCACCACTCTCTCCCATCCCTCACCACGCTCACCACACTCACCACACTCACCACACTCACCACACTCACCACGCTCACCACTCTCTCCCATCCCTCACCACGCTCACCACACTCACCACGCTCACCACGCTCACCACACTCACCACGCTCACAACCCTCACCACGCTCACCACGCTCACCACACTCACCACACTCACCACCCTCACCACGCTCACCACGCTCACCACCCTCACCACGCTCACCACGCTCACCACACTCACCACACTCACCACCCTCACCACACTCACCACACTCACCACTCACCACACTCACCACACTCACCACGCTCACCACGCTCACCACACTCACCACACTCACCACACTCACCACGCTCACCACGCTCACCACACTCACCACGCTCACCACACTCACCACACTCCCCCATCTCTCCCCCATCTTACAGCTGGTAACAGAAACAAGAGTTTTATTTAGTGTGGGTCTCTATGAGTGTGGGTCTCTATGAGTGTGGGTCTCTATGAGTGTGGGTCTCTATGAGTATGGGTCTCTGTGGGTCTCTATGAGTCTGGGTCTCTATGAGTCTGGGTCTCTGTGGGTCTCTATGAGTGTGGGTCTCTATGAGTGTGGGTCTCTATGAGTGTGGGTCTCTATGAGTGTGGGTCTCTATGAGTCTGGGTCTCTGTGGGTCTCTATGAGTCTGGGTCTCTGTGGGTCTCTTTGGGTCTCTGTTAGTATGGGTCTCTATGGGTCTCTATGAGTGTGGGTCTCTATGAGTGTGGGTCTATGTGGGTCTCTATGAGTGTGGGTCTCTGTGGGTCTCTGTGGGTCTCTATGAGTGTGGGTCTCTGTGGGTCTCTGTGAGTGTGGGTCTCTATGAGTGTGCGTCTATGTGGGTCTCTATGAGTGTGAGTCTCTGTGGGTCTCTATGAGTGTGGGTCTCTATGAGTGTGGGTCTCTGTGGGTCTCTTTGGGTCTCTATGAGTGTGGGTCTCTATGAGTGTGGGTCTCTATGAGTGTGGGTCTCTGTGGGTCTCTATGAGTCTGGGTCTCTATGGGTCTCTGTGGGTCTCTATGAGTGTGGGTCTCTGTGAGTGTCTCTATGAGTATGGATCTCTGTGGGTCTCTATGAGTCTATGTGGGTCTCTATGATTGTGGGTTTCTGTGGGTCTCTGTCTCTCTCTCTCTCCCCGTGTCTCTCTCTCTCCCCCCGTGTCTCTCTCTCTCTCTCTCCCCGTGTCTCTCTCTCCCCGTGTCTCTCTCTCCCCGTGTCTCTCTCCCCGTGTCTCTCTCTCCCCGTGTCTCTCTCTCTCCCCGTGTCTCTCTCTCCCCGTGTCTCTCTCTCCCCCCGTGTCTCTCTCTCCCCCCGTGTCTCTCTGTCCCCCCGTGTCTCTCTCTCCCCGTGTCTCTCTCTCCCCCCGTGTCTCTCTCTCCCCGTGTCTCTCTCTACCCGTGTCTCTCTCTCCCCGTGTCTCTCTCTCTCCCCATGTCTCTCTCTCCCCGTGTCTCTCTCTCCCCGTGTCTCTCTCTCTCCCCGTGTCTCTCTCTCCCCGTGTCTCTCTCCCCGTGTCTCTCTCTCCCCGTGTCTCTCTCTCCCCGTGTCTCTCTCTCCCCCCGTGTCTCTCTCTCCCCCCGTGTCTCTCTCTCCCCCCGTGTCTCTCTCTCCCCGTGTCTCTCTCTCCCCCCGTGTCTCTCTCTCCCCGTGTCTCTCTCTACCCGTGTCTCTCTCTCCCCGTGTCTCTCTCTCTCCCCATGTCTCTCTCTCCCCGTGTCTCTCTCTCCCCGTGTGTCTCTCTCCCCGTGTCTCTCTCTCTCCCCGTGTCTCTCTCCCCGTGTCTCTCTCTCCCCGTGTCTCTCTCTCCCCGTGTCTCTCTCTCCCCGTGTCTCTCTCTCCCCGTGTCTCTCTCTCCCCGTGTCTCTCTCTCTCCCCATGTCCGTCTCTCCCCGTGTCTCTCTCTCTCTCTCTCCCCGTGTCTCTCTCGATCTCCCCGTGTCTCTCTCTCCCCGTGTCTCTCTCCCCGTGTCTCTCTCTCCCCGTGTCTCTCTCTCCGTGTCTCTCTCTCCCCGTGTCTCTCTCTCCCCGTGTCTCTCTCTCCCCGTGTCTCTCTCTCCCCGTGTCTCTCTCTCTCCCCGTGTCTCTCTCTCTCCCCGTGTCTCTCTCCCCGTGTCTCTCTCTCCGTCTCTCTCTCCCCGTGTCTCTCTCTCCCCGTGTCTCTCTCTCTCCGTGTCTCTCTCTCCCCGTGTCTCTCTCCCCGTGTCTCTCTCTCCCCGTGTCTCTCTCTCCCCGTGTCCGTCTCTCCCCGTGTCTCTCTCGATCTCCCCGTGTCTCTCTCTCCCCGTGTCTCTCTCTCCCCGTGTCTCTCTCTCCCCGTGTCTCTCTCTCTCCCCGTGTCTCTCTCTCCCCGTGTCTCTCT